ATAGATGAATCAGAAATAATATTATAAGTCTTTTTCAAAAATGAGAAAATGACAAACAAATTGATTTAATATCAAATTATAGCAAAACAGAAGAACAAGAATTAGAAAAACTAAAAGAAAAACCCATTACTGCAATAAAAACGACACCACATAATGGCACTTTGACAAAAACAATTACCAACGAACCAAAAAATAATAAAGAGCAAACTATTTCCAATGAAATTGAAATGGGTATTGATGCTTATGAATATTTTATTGATGTCATCAATAAAAATATTAAAAAATTTGTTGATCAAGAAATAGAGCGGTTTTTTCAACAAAATAAATCTAAACCTATAATAATCGAATCAAAAAGCAAGACAAAAAATTTAAATGATGAAGAAGAAAATCCTAGTAATCTTATATATTTCAAAAAAAGTTATAGATGAATCAGAAATAATATTATAAGTCTTTTTCAAAAATGAGAAAATGACAAACAAATTGATTTAATATCAAATTATAGCAAAACAGAAGAACAAGAATTAGAAAAACTAAAAGAAAAACCCATTACTGCAATAAAAACGACACCACATAATGGCACTTTGACAAAAACAATTACCAACGAACCAAAAAATAATAAAGAGCAAACTATTTCCAATGAAATTGAAATGGGTATTGATGCTTATGAATATTTTATTGATGTCATCAATAAAAATATTAAAAAATTTGTTGATCAAGAAATAGAGCGGTTTTTTCAACAAAATAAATCTAAACCTATAATAATCGAATCAAAAAGCAAGACAAAAAATTTAAATGATGAAGAAGAAAATCCTAGTAATCTTATATATTTCAAAAAAAGTTATAGATGAATCAGAAATAATATTATAAGTCTTTTTCAAAAATGAGAAAATGACAAACAAATTGATTTAATATCAAATTATAGCAAAACAGAAGAACAAGAATTAGAAAAACTAAAAGAAAAACCCATTACTGCAATAAAAACGACACCACATAATGGCACTTTGACAAAAACAATTACCAACGAACCAAAAAATAATAAAGAGCAAACTATTTCCAGTGAAGATGATATTTCTCTTGAATGGGATGATAAATATGATAACTTTTTGTTTGAATCAAAAACTAAAAATAACCCTACAAACCATGCAACTACACCAAATGAAAATTATGAAAGTATGAAAAAAATTATTGAAGAATTAGAAAACAGATTGAATGAAAAGAATAAACTCATAGAACAATTACAACAAGAAAGTGCTCAACTTAATATTGAAAATAAAAATTTAGAAAGTAAAATCAAGAAATTAGAAGATACAGTTATTAAAAATAGGCAGTTAATAGAACGATTACAACAAAATAATAAAAATTCTGGATTTGATAGTAACTCAAATATAGATAATAAAATTAAAACTGGTGTCACTATTGATAGTAAACAAGATTGAATGAATAGTGAATTTAATGATAAATTAGAACATGAAGAACAAGAAAATAAAAAAACAGTAGACGTAGCAACACAAACAATTCCTACCCCTGTTGAATTATCTGATTGCAAAAAAATAAAAGTACCTACAACATTATCTAATGCAGAAAAAAATGGAGATTCTGGATTTGATAGTAACTCAGATATAGATAGTTTTGTTATACCTTCTAAACAAGAACAAAAAGTTTTGGGTGATGGAAATTGTATGTTTTCAGCAACAATGATAGCTTATTTAGAACTAGCTAAAAATAATAATATTGAGTTTGAAAATAGATGCAAAGTACTTTTTGGACAATTAACAAATATAAAAACTTTTGAAATATTTAATAGTATTCAAAAAAATCAAGAACAACTTAAAGATTTAGTTTTAAAATCTCGTGCACGTGTAATTAAATATATGTTAGAAAATATAAGTATAGAAGATAAAGAAATATTAGAATCTTCTTTAAATGATTTTTATTACAGAAATAAAAATAGATTTTATAGTGAAAATATAAAAAAACCAGAAAACATTACCGAATATTGTGAAATAATGAAAAAAGATGGCTGATTTGGAGATGCTTTTGAACTAAAATACATTTCCAAAATGTTGAAACATAATATAATAATGTTTCAACATGGTATAAGAAAACAAAAATTTGATATTTATTTTCCTGAAAATAAACATGATAACAATATTTTATTAAATTATACTCATTATGCTCTTGTTAATAAAAAGGATACTAAATTTGATCATTATAACTATTATTCTTATAATTATAATTTTGATAAACAATCTATAAATGCGCAAGCAAATATAAATCCTAATTTAATAGTTAAACCAATTATGTTAACTAACTAATTAAAAAAGCACAAAAATTATATCTTTTTGAAAGTAGGTGAAAATAAAACATGGATGACACAAATAAAAAAGATTTAGAAAAATGACAAGAAAAACAAAATAGGGAAAAAGAAAAGAAGAAAAAAACAAAAATATTCAAACAAGAAAATAGAAAACTTGATTTATTAATTGCAGAATCAGAAAGACAATTTGAAATATTAAAAGAAATGGTTGAAGTAGAAGAAATACATATACCAAGATATAAATCTTCAACAAGTAAAAATCAAAGTTTTAGTAATAAATCACAAAAAATGTAAATCTTAAATACTTCAAAACTACTCAATTGAGTAGTTTTGTTTTAGAGCCTGTTTAGAATCTTTTTAACAA